CACTTTTCTTCACATTCCCGCTCCATTTCTATCTTCACCGATGGGTCTAAGTGTGCAGAATATGTAGGCTACTCTGTTGTTTTTCCTGACCACACCTTTATGTGTCGCCTTCCTCCGGAGACTAGCGTCTTGACGACAAAACTTTATGCGATTCTCTATGCTCAACGTCTACTGCTTTCTTGCTATCACTCCTTTGTGGTCGTAGTTAACTCTCGCAGTGCCCTCATGGGTCTGGATTCCTTTAATCCAATCCATCTGGTAGTTGTCGAGATTCAACATTGGCTGTTTCTTATCTCCAGTAGATATTAGGCGGTAGAGTTTTATTGGGTTCCCAACCATATTGGTGTCTCTTAAAATGAGCATGCAGATGCTGCCCGTAAAGGATTTCCTTATTCTGACTTTTACCCCAGTTATTCATTCCTCCATCCCTGCCCGTTGGCAGGGTTGTTGGTCTTCTGTTACTGATAACAAACTGCGTGCTCTTAACAGTAATGTGTCCCTGTGGCCTTCTTCCTACCATTGTAACTGGTGGTGGGAAACGGCTGTGGCAAGGATGCGTATTGGCCATACATGCTTAACTCATGGACAATTAATTGAGCGGCGCCCTTCTCCTTATTGCATAAACTGCATTGTCCCTTTTACAGCTGTGCATATCCTTGTTGAATATCCTGACTTCCAGGACGAGCGTGTGTCTTGTTTTCCGATCGTCCTTTGCAGTCGCTTGTCCCTCGATAGAATTCTTGGTGAATCGGATATTTTTGATATCGTTCACCTTATGTGTTTCTGTTCTCATATTGGCATCCTTAGTGATATTTAGCGCGTTCTGATTATTCTGCACGTTTAGTGGTACTACATATCCCTCACAGCTTGGTGCCTTCTTTTAATAATTACTTACTTATTTCAGATTCCAGGAGATGGTGAAGCGGTGGGTTTTCTGTGATTGATAGAAGAAGCCTTCCCTCTGTCTGGGTTCGCCAATTTCCCAGTTGCATCTGTAATCTAGATGTAGACTATATCGAGCTCCTGTGTGTGTTTACTCAGTAATAGTAGAGGCTGCCCGGGAGTGTACCTCTACTCTCAGGGGTGGCTATAAATGACCCCTCATAGTTCCATCTCCTTCTACGGGCTATTCATGCCAGTGCCACCTCTTGGCTGGCTTATTCTTCAACAATCTGTCAACTCCTAACCTCTGGCTTTATTAGTTGCTCAGTGGGAGAGTTAGGTACGATCTTACTTAAGATCGATCTTACGGTTGAGAGCAGGTGACGCTGGGGTCCCCACCCCCTGCTGACCCTCTGAATTCCACTAAAAACCTCATTATTAATATAATGATAAATAAATTTTTTTACACATGCATAACTGCTACAGTAAATCTTTATTCTACCTAGCTATGCTGTGACAAAATCTTACTGAAGCGACCATACAAGTTATAAATACTCATATTCTGCTCAAGTAAAATAGAATAAGCAACACTTAGTGGGCCAGCCAGAGACTTAAAGCCCATGCAGGAATATCCCTGCAAAAAAAAAAAAATAATGTAACAACTTGGGTCATGTGTGGTGGCCTCGATCTATTCTGTATCCTGTGTCTGGCCTCCTGTTTCCCTCGCCTAGCTTCATTACTTTGCATTTACTTGGGTTGAACTTTAGCAGCCATCTGTAGGACCATTCACTCAGTTTGTCTAGGTCATCTTGTAGCTTCCTACTGTCATTCTCTGTTTTAATCCTCCTCATATTTTTTGCATCATCAGCAAACAGTAGCAGGAACGATTCTATACCCTCAGGGAGATCGTTTACATATATCAGAAACAGTATAGGTCCAAGGACTGAACCCTGCGGAACTCCACTGGTGACGCCCCGCCAGACCCAAACTGGGGTCTCGCTAATGTAGGATAAGGTGGCCAAGCGGGTGGCTGCATCCTGAGAAGGAACAGCAACGACTCGTGTACCAAGATGGGTAAGATTGAAAGTAACAAAGGCATCTACTGACTCAACAAGGTGCCTATGAAGGGAAAAATCGACAGGAGGAGTATCTAAAGGATGGAGGTCATAGTACTTAGTCCACGTAGCAGGACCAAACAAGGTATGGTACGAATTAGTATGGGAAGGGAGCATACGAGAGCGGCCGTGGAGGGGACAGCGGTGAGAACCTCTGGAGAGAGATGGGAGAGAGATGGGTCATAAGGCGCAGTAGTCACAATGAGAGATGGAGCCGTGCAAGGGGGACGAGGAGGTCACCACAAAGGGCTTGGGGCTCGACCCAACCACAGAGGAGGGAGGGGAGCAGAGAGGAGTAGTCCGGTCTGGGCCCGTACCGGGCCCTGTAACGGGGACTACAGAGCCCGGTCTTCCAGTACAGTCCGACTCAGGAGCCTGGTCGCCCACCCCATGAGCCTGGATAAGAGAAGTCGTGTCGTCAACTATGCATCAATCAATCTAAAGGTTTGGGACCGGGATCCAAGGGATACCACCTACCAGGGCAGTCAGGAAGGCAGAGCGCGGGCCAGTGCAGGAAGGGGGCGTCGTCCCCAGGTCCCCCTTTTCAACAGGGGGAGTCCTACTACATCGTCCATTCTCCCACACTGGTGCTAAGACCCCATTTCCCCTATCGCCCTAGCCTGGACACCCAACTATCCACTCAGGGCGGTCCCTCACAGGCGACCCCTCCAGCGGGTGGTCTGATGGCTCAAAAAGCCCCTACGTGGTGCCCTTCTGCACGAACACCATCAAAGAGGGGCAGGAGACGGGACAAAGGCAACCCACACCGGTCCCAGGGAGGTGTACGTGAGCCCCTCACCACTGCATGGACACACCACAGAGGGGTCAGAGGTCAACCCGTTCTTGCACTTTCCTAAAGTCAATATTGACTTATTAAATAAGTGAATATGTGACATACTAGTTTATTGTGAATATTTTAATTTACCTTGAAAAGCTTCATAGACCACACCGACCTTACCTAACCTTCTTAGTATGTTAAGATAAGCATCTTATTGCTTCGTAATTACAATTATTACTTAACCTATTATGGGTATAGGTTAAGTAATAATTGTAATTACGAAGCAATAAGATGCATATCTTAACCTACTAAGAAGGTTAGGTAAGGTCGGTGTTTTCTATGAAGATTTTCAAGGTAAACTAAAATATTCACAATAAATTAGTATGTCACATATGTACGTATTTAATAAGTCAATATTAACTATAAGAAAGTGCGAGAACGGGTTGCAGAGGTAGGTAGTTTTCCGTCATTGTGTACTGTCCCTTTAGTCTCCTGTCACCTATTCCCATTTCCATAACTTTACACTTCCTTGTTTTGAACTCCAGTAGCCATTTCTCCGACCATCTATATAGTTTGTTCAAATCCTCTTGGAGGATCCTACAATACTCATCAGTCACAACTCGTCTCATTAAATTTTCGTCATCCTCAAACATTGACACATAAGACTCAACACCTGTAGACATGTCCTTTACGTATATTAGAGATAAATTGGTCCCAGCACCGATCCTTGAGATACTCCACTCGTTACTGTTCTCCAGTCCGACTTGTCGCCCCTTACTGTTACTCTCTGGCTCTTGCCTGTTACAGTAACTCCATTCTCTTCCTCCTGTCTCTCAAGTTTGTTTAGTATTATGTGTGAGTGTGTTTGTGTTTGTTTGTTTTTTAGTGCGCTCGTGTTTGTACTCACCTATTTGTGCTTGCAGGGGTTGAGCTTTGACTCAACCCCTGGTCCCGCCTCTCAACTGTCAATCAACTGGTGTACAGGTTCCTGAGCCTACTGGGCCCTATCATATATATCTACATATGAAACTGTGTATGGAGTCAGCCTCCACCACATCACTGCCTAATGCATTCCATCCGTTAACTACTCTGACACTGAAAAAGTTCCTTGTTGGCGTCCCACCAGTGTTGAATAGTTTATCCTTGTATACCCGGTCGATTCCCCTGAGGATTTTGTAGGTTGTGTACGTGTGTGTGTACTCATCTAGTTGTGCTTGCAGGGGTTGAGCTCTGGCTATTTGGTCCCGCCTCTCAACTGTCATTCAACTGGTGACAATCAACTGGTGATTTCTGAACACCAGTTGATTGACAGTTGAGAGGTGGGACGTCTTTGACACGTCTTTTGACGTGGTGGCATGGACATGGTGTGTGTGTGTGTACGGGCGTGGTGTGTGTGAACGTGCATGTGTATGCAGCCCGTCCTCCTAAGGATTCCCAACGTCAAGAAAACGGTCAATTTAAAGTGTCCTCTCCTAACCTACCAGAGCACTCAAAGCAGAAAACGGAACAGTTTGTCACTTTCGCGAGCCGCTTCCATTTTCTAGTACAACAATTTTTAGCCTTATTTAATGCATAAGAGCGAAAAGAGAAGTTCTTTGTAGGAGGACAGGTTGGTGTATGTGTGTGTGTGTTTTCTTGTGGTATTCGCAAGCTAGCTCACGGCTCGGGAAATTTCTGTCTTTATTTTCCTGGTCACATTAGAAGTATATTGGTAACTGTCGACAATTTGAAACAAGCATTTTAGTTTGATCAATTATCAAAACAAGAGCAATCTACACATGTAAGCAATCAAGTGACTCATGAAATCATAATATAATTAAATTTTAGGTTTTACTGAAATAAAACTGAATAAAACTCAGTATTTTAGACACTATTTTACAAAGAAGTGAGGTTTGGGTAGTGGCAACACCTGACAAGGCGAGGCTTTCAACACCTGAACCCGGATTCACAAAGCAGTTATGCAAGTACTTTCGAACGTGTACATCTTTTCTCAATCTTTGACGGCTTTGGTTACATTTATTAAACAGTTTACAAGCATGAAAACTTCCCAGTCAACTGTTGTTGTTATTATAAACAGCCTTCTGGTGCTTCGGAGCTCATTAACTGTTTAATAATCGTAAACATAGCCACCAAAGATTGAGAAAAGATGGAAAGGTTCGTAAGTGCTTGCATAACTGCTTCGTGAATCTGGTCCCTGGCCCGGGTGAAGCCACACCTGACCCAGGTGAGTATATAAAGGTGTGACTGGGGGCGGGTTCCTCACTCTCTTGCACGGCTTCTCCTCGTTCTTGATAACCTCATCCCCATCATGACACTTGTGAGTATTGTTGTACGCTGTAAGTTTTCTTCCCTACTAAATACTGCTGAATTAGTTATTTTCAACGTTATGTTAGGTTTGACTTTATTATTAATTCTATGACATTTGTTTATGAACTTAGTTTTTATAGCAGTTTTAAACTGTAACTAGCGAAGGGTGTTTCTTATAGTACCTATTTCAATGTTTCACGGGAGAACCAGTTGAAATATAACAGGACAAAGGAATCATTTAATGTAACCGCAGTTTGCCTGAAGGATGCCATCACTTTACTGAATGAGTTACTTAGAGATGCCTCTAATTTCTAATTATAATTACTCATAAATATATTAAGTACTAATTATAAATTACTAATTACAAACGCGTTTTTAAACTTTGCAGTTTGCGTTGTTGCTGACGGTAGCTATGATGATCATTACCATGGGCACTACCAAGGGTCACGTTAACATTTGTCATGCTTCTCCACAAAGTGCACGCGTTGCTCGGTCGCCAAATTCAAGCGTTAATGACTTGGATCAAAAAGCAACTATAACTACACAAACTGATCCAAGCAATAGTACCCATCCCCTGGATGATGTACATGCCCATTCGCCTCGGCAGACTGTGGTCTCTGACACAATTACCACAGTCTCGGTTACTGTCGGCCAGTCTAAAGACAGCCTCCACGCCACTAGCACAGAGACGACGACTTCTCCCACACCGGAGAGTGTCGGCCTCACCCAGCACGACACTTGCTCACAAAGCCTTTAAAGTGGATTGGTAATTAGGGCACCATAGTTCTCAATTGATTTTATTGCAAATAAACTAGTATTTTCTCAACTAATCAGAATTCACGTTAACAAGTGTATAATAATGTAATTGCGTTTGTACATATAAATAAAACAAAGTTAACCTTTGGTTTGCCCCGAATGAGTAAACACTTCTATCCTAGTATAAAGCACTTGTAAGAACCTACCTTGAAGGTAATTATCAAAAGGGACAATGTCTAACACGGTAGTACAGGCCTACACCCCATTTACCCTGAAATGTATGTCCCTGGTGTGGCAAGGAGCCATGGTGCACCGACCCGCTAGGGTGTACCACTTTCTGCATTCATTCACTGTCCTGGTGAGAGGGTGACAGAGTTCAATCCTCAGGCTTCATCTCGTACAGTATCACTAAAGTAATTATCAGAAGAAGGCACCAAACCGAGAAGGCTGTAGCACCAAGAAATGTGCGGAATAATCAGAGGGCGCTAAAAATCGCAAAGGATGTTCTCGATACGAGAACAAAAACGCACAAGGTGAACAATATCAAAAGTATGAGTCGCCAAGAATTCTATCGGGGGACAGGTGACTGCGAGGGGCGGTCGAAAAGGATGACACACGCTCGTCCTAGAAGTCGGGAAATTCAACAAGAAAATGCACCACCGAAAGAGGGACAAAGCAATGTGGGAAAAAGAGGAGCTGGGCGGCGCTCCATTGAGTGACCGTGAGTTAAGCAAGTATGGCAAATATGCATCCTCGCTAGAGCAGTTTCCTATCGTCGGTTACGGTGTTAGGACGGCCACGAAGAGACAACTCTTTACGAGTACACAGTTTGTTACTGTTAACAGATGACCAATACGCCTGCCAACGGGTAAGGATAGAGGAAAGGATAACCGGATTAAAGTTGGAATATGGAATAGCTTTACGAGGGATGAGACAAAAGTGGACAGCTTCCCTGGAGGTACCCCCTCCCCATCCGGCCCGTTGGCGCCGTAAAGAGGCTTGGTGGACGGCTGCTGGAGTGTGATGCTCCGTGGGACAGTCCTGTCCTTTTGTGGCCTTGCACTCCTGCTGCTGTCTTTAATTGTGCCAGATCCCTTTTCCTTATGTTTCGTTTTTTTTTTTCCCCCTCTTTGCCTATCTGCTTGACGTTTCCTGCCGACCTTTTGCTTGTTCTGGTTCTTCCCTTGGACTTTTTCTATTTTGACGCCCGGGTGCTTGAGGAGGCATACTCTTGCACCCGTAGAACTGTAGTACCCGACGTGGAGAGCGAGGGACACCTTTTATTGTCAATCCCCCTTTCGTCACTGAACCCGATCTCGACGGACTGTCGGTTTCTTAAGGTGGCGTTTGTAGGGCGTATACTCACGACGCACCCCTAGGAGGCCCTGGCAAGATCGGCGATAGCTTCTTGTTGGGTGTCCTGCCCCTAATTGTGGCTCCATGGTGGGTGTGGGGGCACATTCGTGAATGAATTTTCTTTTTCGTAATGATGATGACCCCTGTTTCGGCTGTTTCAGCTTTACCTCCTCAGGCTCGTGGGGTGGGCGACCAAGCCCCCGAGTCAGTCCGTGTTGGAAGACCGGGCTCTGTAGCCTCCGCTGCATTGGGCCCCGACCTTGCTCCTCCTCTGGCCTCTCTGACTCCTTCACCTGGCTCCCCTCCCTCCTCTGTGGTTGGGTCGAGCCCCAAGCCCCCAGTGGTGACCACCTCGTCCCCTGGCGCGGCTCCTTCTCTAGTTATAACTACTGCGCCTTTTAACCCCTCTCTCTGGGGGTTCTCACCGCCGTCCTCGTCACGGCCGCCCTCGCTCGATTCCTTCCAGTTCTGCTATCTATCAAGCCTTGTTTGGTCCCGCTTCGTGGGCCAAATATTTTGATCTCCCTCTTGATTCTGCGCCTCCTGACGACTTCTCCCTCCATCGACATCTCGTTGATTCCGTGGATGCCTCCATTACTTTCAATCCCACTCGTCTCGGTACACGTGTCGTTTCTGCTCCTTCTTAGGATGCTGCTTCCCGCTTGGCCCCCTCCCCGCTCAGCTCGTTGTCGCCGTATGGGGGCTTAGTGGGCGGCTGCCGGAGTGTGATGCTCCTTGGGACAGTCCTGTGTCCTTTTCTAGCCTTGTTCTCCTGCTGCCGTCCTCTCCAATTCTGCTGGGCATCTTTTCCTTTTCCTTCTGTTTCGTTTTTCTCCCCCCTCTTCTCCTATCTGCTTGCCGTTTCCTACCGACCTTTTGCTCGTTCTGGTTCTTCCCTTGGACTTCTTCTATTTTGACGCCCGGGTGCTTGAGGAGGCATACTCATGCACCCGTAGAACTGCAGTACCCGACGTCGAGAGCGAGGGGAACCTTTTATTGTCAATCCCCACTTCGTCACTGAACCCGATCTCGACGGACTGTCGGTTTCTTAAGGTGGCGTTTGTGGGGCGTATACTCGCGACGCACCCCTAGGAGGCCCCGACAAGATCGGCGATAGCTTCTTGTTGGGTGTCCTGCCTCTAATTGTGGCTCCATGGTGGGTGTGGGGGCACATTCGTGAGTGAATTCTTTCTTTCGTCGAGATGATTACCCCTGCTTCGGCTTCTTCTGGTTTACCTTCTCAGGCTCGTGGGGTGGGCGACCAAGCCCCCGAGTCGGTCCGTATTGGAAGACCGGGCTCTGTAGCCTCCGCTGCATTGGGCCCCGACCTTGCTCCTCCTTTGGCCTCTCTGACTCCTTCCTCTGGCTCCCCTCCCTCCTCTGTGGTTGGGTCGAGCCCCAAGCCCCCAGTGGTGACTACCTCGTCCCCTGGCGTGGCTCCTTCTCTAGTTGTAACTACTGCGCCTTTTAACCCCTCTCTCTCTGGGGGTTCTCACCGCCGTCTTCGTCACGGCCGCCCTCGCTCGATTCCTTCCAGTTCTGCTACCTATCAAGCCTTGTTTGGTCCCGCTTCGTGGGCCAAATATTTTGATCTCCTCCCTCTTGATTCTGCGCCTCCTGACGATTTCTCCCTCCATCGACATCTCATTGATTCCGTGGATGCCTCCATTACTTTCAACCCCACTCGTCTCGGTACACGTGTCGTTGCTGCTCCTTCTCAGGATGCTGCTTCCCGCTTGGCTGCCTTATCCTGCCTTGGCGAGACCCCCGTTCGGGTCTCGAAGAACGTTCAGTTGAATGCCAGTGTTGGCACTATTTTGCTCCCGCCCCATGTTGCGACCGGTGTTCGGGACCTACGCGACTGCCACGACGATATTCGACATATCCTCGCTGCCCAGGGCCATTCTATTCTCCAGGTGGACACGTTTACTCGTCCCCCTCGTGGTAGTCGCCGTCAACCCCTCCGGGTTGTGAAGATTACCTTTGATGGTAGGACCCTTCCACCCTCTGTCATTCTTGCTGGTGCCAGGTGCTCTGTCCAGGAGTACATTCCTTCTCCTCGGCTCTGCAACAAGTGCTGGAGGTTTGGGCATGGTGCCCTCCGCTGCTCCGGGACTGTCTCTCTCTGTCCTTTGTGTGGTGGCGAAGATCACTCTAAGTCGGAGTGCGCTTCTCCCCAGGCTCGTTGCCTCAACTGCGGTGAGGCCCATCCTACCTTCTCCCGTGCGTGTGTCCATTACAAGCTTGAGGCAGCCGTCCTCAACTTGAAGCACCGGGACCGTTTATCTTTTCCTGAGGCGAGGCGCCAGGTTCGCCGGCTCCCGCCTTATGCTAATATCTCTTATGCTCGCGTGTTGCGCTCTTCCTCTCCTCGTCCTTCCCGCCTTCCTCAGACTCACAACCGTTTCCAGGCCTTGGACCCTGATGCGCCCACTGCCCCCTCCTCTGTCCCTTTGGGTTCTCTCCCGAAGGATCCTCCTCCTGGTCCTCTGTCTGGGGTTCCCCTTCCTTCTACCCGGTCTGTCGTGTCTTCTGTGTTTTCTTCCTCGTCCCCCTCCGATCCTCCTTCCCATCCTCTTCCTCCATCTATCGGCTCTCCCCGCCGCCTGTCGGTGCGGGCGGATGTCCATCGCTCTCCTAACGGCCGTCGTGTGTGCTCTCGTTCGGCTTCTCCTGTTGAGACACTGGAATCCGTTGCCCGGTACGTAGTTGCTGGGACACCGGTCTCTTTGAGCCAGAAGCGTAAGCCTGGCTCCTCTCCTTCCTCTTCCCCGGCGGGTAAGAAGGCTTCGCTTTCTTCCTCAGCTCCTCCTTCTGGCTCTGTTGCTCCTTCCCCTCCCGTTTCAGTGCTTGCGCCCCCTGTTCCTGCTATGGAGGTTTCTTTGGCCCCTGCTTCCCTTTCGGTTGCTGCTCTTGCTGGGGTGCGCTCCTCTCTTTCTACTCCCCCTCTTCCTGCTGCTGTCCTTGACTGCTCCTCTCCGTTGTCTCCTCCTCCTCCTCCTCCTCCTCCGGACCCTGCCCGCCCACCTCTGATCTGTTCTCCCGTTTCCTTCCCTCCGTCTTTGCTCAGTTTACCCATGCCCCCTAACCCTGACTTTGCTGACCCTGATCCCGACCCTGATATTCTTTAACGTGCTCTGTTGGTCTTTCGCCTTTGTTTCTTCCTTGTTCTCTGTTTTTGTCCTTTCTCTTCTCGTCGTTGTCCATTCTTCAATGGAACGTTCGAGGTTATTACGCCAATTTCCTCGAACTCCAACTTCTGGTTTCGCGGTTTTCGCCCCTTTGTGTCTGTCTCCAGGAGCCGATGCTTGGTGCTCGTCCTGGTCGTTTTCGTGGCTATTCCTTTCTCTCCCCCCCCCCAGCCATTGCTGGGGCTTCTAATTCTTCTGCTCTCTTGATTCGGGCTGATGTTCCCTTTGTTCCTTTACTTTTTCCTTCGCCTCTCCATTGTTCTGCTGCTCGTATCTTTGTGGGGAAATGGTACACAGTTTGTTCCATTTATCTCCCCCCGAGTGTCCCGCTCTCTCTTCCTGATTTGAAACACCTCCTAGACTCCTTGCCGGAGCCTGTGCTCCTGCTGGGTGACTTCAATTGTCGTCATTCTCTTTGGGGTGACGTTCTGACGAATACCCGGGGTCGCCTCCTCGAGCCGTTTCTCCTCTCTTCTTCCCTGTCTCTTCTGAATTCTGGTGAGCCCACTCATTTGGACTCTCGAACTCGCACCCTTTCTTGTCTTGATCTTTCTCTCTGCTCTTCTTCTCTTTATTTAGATTTCACATGGCAGGTT